TTTTTGTCCATGTTTTTTTTTATTTATTCGTTTTGGTGCAGTCAATAAACAAGTTGTTTTTTTTTTTTGGACAAAGCCTAAAAGTCCATCTATCCATTCGTTATCTTTACCCACTTATTTTTTGGGTCATGTGGACCACTGGTGCCAAAATCCAGCAGTCACTGTGCGACAGGCGGGGGACACCCTGGACAGGTCTCCAGTCCATCACAGGGACATAGAGACAAACGAGACAAACAATCATTCACTCTCTCTCTCACCTAGGGACAATTTAGAGTTACCAGTCAGTCTAACATGCATGTTTTTGGTCTGTGGAGGAAAACGGAGTACCCGGAGAAAACCCACGCAGCACGGAGAGAACATGCAAACTCCACCCAGAAAGAACCCCCGCCTGGGGTTTGATCCAGCGACCTGCTCGCTGAGAGGCAACAGCTCTGCGAACTGTAGACCAGTGACCTTAAAATGAGCAGCATCAGGAGGGAGGAGCAAGAGAAGCCGAAGAAATAATAGGAGTTGAAAGAGGAAGTTGTGGAGCGCCAAAGCATCAGTGGTCCCAGTGGTCATTGGAGCACTCGGTGCGGTGACCCCCAAACTGGAAGAGTGGCTCCAACAGATCCCAGGAACAACCTCAGAGATGTCCAGAAGAGTGCAGTCCTAGGAACAGCTGAGATACTGAACAGAACCCTCAGAACCCAGGCCTCTGTTAGAGGGCCTGAGTTTGAAGTGACGTGGAAGAACAGGGCGAGCCGAGTGTTAAACAACACTTAAACTCTGGGCTTCAGCAAGCTGGTTGAAGCAGCTGCTACATCTTCATCCTCCGACCTGGTGATCAGTTAACTGAGCGCAGCTGTTGTGGATTGATGATTTATTTATTTATTTATCCTAAATATCAGACGGCTAATTGGTCTGTCTCTAGCTCACAGCCAAACGCTTCCATTATATCTGAGCTCAGAACCTTTGAACTTGTCATGTTTGCTGCATAAAACTGTTTGAGGCTTTCTTTCTGCTCCGCATTCCTGAGTCATTGAGTGGTCAGGGAGTGAGAGAGACGGGTGTGTGGTTACCATGGTAACCCTAATGAGTCACTGGCAGCAGATTTAAGGTTGCTTTTTATCTTGGTTCTCTTCAGCCTTCTTATACAGTTTTTATACTTTAAAACGTCGGCCATTTTGGGAGCTTAGATTTCTACAAAATAAGTCCTAAATTCCCATGGAGTTTTAGAGAATAAAGTTGATGGACACTTGTTTTTTGTTTTCTAGACGCATTGTTTGCAGTGTGTCATGACTCTTATTTTTTTCAATGACCAGAAAGCCCTGGAGGAAGAGGAGGAGGAGGAAGAGGAGACGGAGACGAAGCCCGACCCCCTTCATCAGCTGATTCTACACTTCAGCCGCACGGCTCTCACGGAGAAGCTGTAAGAGCGTCCTGCAGCTTCAGTCGCTCACCTGCGTGGCTCCGCCCACCTTTCTGACTCCTCCTGTGTGTTTTCTTACAGTAAGCTCGACGTCGACCATCTTTACATGTCGTACGCCGACATCATGGCAAAGGTGAGTCCTTGTGGGTGGTCGGACAGGAAACAGGAAGTAGAGAACTGAATAAACCTTGCTGCTGACCTCTCTTCCATCAGAGCTGCCACATTGGTGAGGAGGACGAAGGGGGAGAGCAGGAGGGGGAGGAGCCATCCTTTGAGGTGCGACAGACAGAGATGGTATGGGGGGGGACCAGGGGAGGGGAGACAGGGGAGTCAGCGGACAAGCAGCTCCCCAAGCACTGAGTGACCACACCATGACATCACACCCGGCACATCCCCCCCACCCAACCACAGCCTTCTCTCTCTTTTCCCGCCTTTCTTCCGTCCACTCACAGCACCCGTCTGACTCCTGCGGTGGTGGACCAGTGCATGCCTTTGCTGGACCACCAGCAGGACCAGTGTTGCTCCTAAACTGCATGACCTGAGTGCAGAGAGATGGTGCAGCTAAAGACGACAAAATCAAACCCAGAACAAATCCACTAGTTGTTCTTTGTAGAATCACAGTTTCCACACCTGATCAGCATCAGTGAAAGAAACGCGTGGGCTGAAAACGGGCGTGGACTCTGTGATGATGTAGTTCTGAACACGTGCTTTGCTGGAAGCATCGCACTCCCCGGCACGGCCATTCTTATTCTGTTGAAGCACGTGTTCACGTGGAGCTTTTTCTCCAGCAAGGAAACGATCTCCTGGCTCTTCTATGCATCTTTTTTATGAAAGCACTTTGAACGGCTTCCTGTCGTCCATGACAGTCATTTTAACAAAATAAATATCGTTCTCTGTTCAACCCCAGTGGGGAAATTAATTCTCAGCGTTTTTCCCATCGCACACGTGGAGCAGAGAGCTGCCATCTAGGGTGCCCGAGGAGCAGATGGTGGGGGTTAAAGGCCTTGCTCAAGGGCCCAGAGTGGGGCAAATGAAAGTGGAGGCAGGTGTGGGTGCTTCACCTGTCCCACCCACATTTGATGTCGTCAGTCCAGGAAGTTGAACCAGCAACCTTCCAATCGCAGGCCCACCTTCTCTAACCTCTTCACCACCACTCCCCACAACGCATCATCGTTTTATCTGCGCTCCAACTCTCACCTGTTGTCTTGAGGTTTGGATCATGACAGCAGCCAAAATGAACTTCCTTCGTGGGGTGGGGGGTGGGGCTCAGCCTTAGAGAGAGGGTGTCAGCCGGGGGGAGCTCTGAGTAGAGCTGCTGCTCCTCTGCAGCAAAAGCAGTCAACTGAGGTGGTTCATCTGGTCAGGATGCCTCCAGATCGCCTTGCTTTGGTGGTTTTCTGGGCTCCTTCCAGGTGACCCAGGTCCTTCAGGAAGGAGGCCCCGGGCAGACCCAGAACTCGTTTAAGGGACTGTAACTTCTTACCTTGGGGTTCTCTCAGGAGGAGCTGCAGAGTGACTCTGGGGAGCATTCAGCTGTGGAGACGAGGAATAAATCCAAGTCCTTTTTATTAAAGTGTTAAATCTACGCTTCACCTTTCCTGGCTACGAAAAAGATAAAACAGAGATGGAGCGTTTAGTGGATTCTTTGTTCATGAGTGAGACGACCGGAGCGTGAGATCCACAGATGGATTGGTGCAGCGTCTGCAGTGTTGTGGTCTCTGTGCCGGTCCGTTGTGGTGAAGAGGGAGCTGAGCTGTAAGTCAAAGCTCTCCGTTTCCCGGTCGGTCTACGTTCCTGCCCTCACCTGTGGTCACGAACTCTGGGTAGAGACAGAAAGAACCAGACCCTGGATCCAGGAGGTCCAAATGAGTTGCCTCTGCAGGGTAGCTGGACTCTCCCTGAGAGACGGGGTGAGAAGTTCAGTTATCAGGAGAGACTCGGAGTAGAACCGTTTCTCCTCCACATCGAAAGGAGCCAGTTGAGGTGGTTCAGACATCTGGTCAGGATGCCTCCTGCTCCTGAACACCTCCCAAGGGAGGTGCTCTGGACTTGTCCAACTGGGGGAGACCCAGGACACGCTGGAGAGACAACACTACAAAGCACTTTCCCTCCATGCAGATGTGTTGTTCTTCATTGGCAACGACTAAAAAAGGTGCTTCATCTCAGAAAAACCTCCACGTGAACACATGCCTGTACTGTTCCTGTCAGAACCAAAGTAATGCACCGAACTGTGCTGAAAACCCACATGAAGCCCTGAAACGGGTTTTCTAACAGGAAAATGAGCCACGTTTGTGTTGACTGCGCAGACCCGCAGCGCCCCTTCCTGACTCACACCTCCTGCGCTCGCTGCTTCGTTTAGTCGTCTCCGTGTGGAGTTTGCGGACTAACGGGCTGATTTTGTCTTTACTTCAAATTGGACAACGCTAACGAGTCTCCCTCTCTGTGCTCACTTAGATCTACCGTAAAGACCTGCACAGTCTAGACACACAAACTTCAGACAACCTGACGCACACTCATGCACACTCACAGCTACCTCTACAGTCCCTCGTAATGATGCATCAGTATTTATTCACGTCAGGCTGACGAGGGAGGGGGGGCGGAGGGATGGGTAGGTGCAGTTCTGTGTGCTTTGGGTGGGTGGCTTTGTGCATGGTGTGCAGTGGGAGGGTCTGATTAACCTTTTTTTGTCAGCAGGATGGTTGGTTATAGCACCTGTGCTGGAGCAAATGAAGGAAAGTAAGGGCAGATTGAGTAAACAAAACCTTATATGGTAGTGTACAGGTGCTTTCATACCATTTCAACTTGGACACATATATCTACAAGGACAAATCAAATCCTCACCTGGTCTTAAAATGTAGAA